GGGGAGACAGAAGCAGAAAAGAGATGGAGAGGCAGAGGGCACTGCAAGCACTGAAGAGAGACAGAGAAATAAAAACACCGCGGGCCAGGGCCAGGGCCAGGGCTGGGGCCCGGGAGGAGGGGGAGGCGGACGCGCGCACATCTGTAGGGAGACACTCGTGCAGAGAAAGATCTCAACAGGGAGGACCGGGAGGCGGAGGCTGCGACCCAGAGAGAGGGAGCGAGGCCTGGAGACGGACCAACGGGCCTTAAGGGAGCAGAAGGAGGCATCAGAGATGGAGAATTGGAAATGGACGGTTAGGGCCCAGGGGTGGAGGAGGCGGAGACACCCAGAAAGAGCAGAGATGGAGCGAGACAGAGAAAACACCAGAAAGAAAGGTGTATATTAGTCATCCATGGTCACATAACAGATCACCCCCCAAATCTGCTGGCTTAAAGCAGCAAACATTCGTTGTCTAACAGTTCCCGAGGGCTGGGAACCTGGGAGCAGTCTCGCCGGGTGGTCCTGGCCAGGGCCTCTCTGGAGGGTGCAGTCGGGCTGCGGGCTGGGGCTGCAGGCGCCTGAAGGCCTGACTGGAGCTGGAAGGTCCACGTCCAAGCTCGTCCACACGGCCTGGGCCCCAGGCCTCAGCTCCTCACCTGGGTCTTTCTATAGGGCTGCTTGAGTGTCCTCACAACCTGGCTGCCAGCTCCACCAGGGTGAGCCATGGGGGGTGGGGGGTGGGGGGGAGAGATGTTTTGTGTGACCTAATCTCCAAAGTCACACACAGCCCAGCCGGCGTGGCTCGGTGGTTGAACATCGACCTATGAACCAGGAGGTCACGTTCGATGGTTCGATTCCCGGTCAGTGCACATGCCCGGGGTTGCAGGCTCCATCCCCAGTAGAGGGCGTGCAGGAGGCAGCCCATCAATGATCCTCTCTCATCATTGATGCTTCTCTCCCTCTCCCTTCCTCTCTGAAACCAATAAAAATATGTTTTTAAAAAAAGTCTCACACACAATCCCTTCATGGGAAACGAGTCACTGAGTCCCGCCCACACTCAGAGGGGAAGAGAGTAGACTCCTCTGGAAGGGAAGAGTCTAAAAATATGTGGGCTTTTTTTTTAACTCTTTTTTTTTATTGCTTAAAGATGTGGGCTTTTAAAAAATATATATATATTTCTTTTATTGATTTCAGAGAGGAAGCAGGAGGGAGAGAGAGGTAGAAACATCAATGATGAGAGAGAATCATTGATCGGCTCCCTCCTGCACACGCCCCAGTGGGGATGGAGCCCACAACCCGGGCATGTGCCCTTGGCTGGAATTGAACTTGGGACCCTTCAATCCACAGGCTGATGCTCTAGCCACTGAGTCAAACTGGCCAGGGCTTGCTGGAAGTTTTTTGATTACTGTTTCAATTTCATCAGTAGTTATTGGCCTATTCAGGTTTTTTGATTCTTCCTGATTGAGTTTTGAAGAGGCGAGACCAGGAAACCACAGTGATGACAATGACGATATTAACAGCGAGCACCCACTGCCTACCAGGCAAGACTGAGCATTGCTATGAGCCACTCCTGCAGTCCGCACAGCTGCCCATTTTACAGATGAGGAAACCAAGTCATCGGGGACTTGCCCGGTTACACTTAGCAAGGGGCGGAGCAGGGAAGGAAAACGGGGGAAAGAAGGATGGAGAGAACATGACCGAGACAGATGTGCAAGGAAGCGGGGGAAGTGGCAGAAAGAGACCCACAGACGTGCCCAGCTCGAAGGAGATGTTTCTCCACCAGAAAAAACGGCAGCCGCCCTGACCGAGTTTCCCAGATCCCTGGGCCGGGCCACGCACTCGGACGGAGGCTTCATTTCAACCCTTAAAGCTGCCCGACTCGGTGGGGCTAGTATTAGCCCCATTACCCAGACAGGACACTGAGGCTCAGAGAGGGAAGTGACTTGAATGGGCTGCAGTGGGTTGAATGGGCAAACCCCCTTCCCCCAAAAGATATGTCCACCTGTAACAGTGATGGCGAACCTTTCGAGCTCGGCGTGTCAGCGCGGTGGGGCTAGTATTAGACCCATTACCCAGACAGGACACTGAGGCTCAGAGAAGGAAGTGACTTGAATGGGCAAACCCCCTCCCCCCAAAAGATACGTCCGCCTATAACCTGTGAATGGACCTTATTTGGCAAAAGGTCTTTGCAGCTGTAATTAAGTTAATGACCTTGAGATGAGATCATCCTACATTACCCAGGTCCGTGGTCGGCAAACTGATTTATTTTATATATTTAAATGCCATTTAACAAAAAAAAATCAACCAAAAAAATGAGTTCGCGTGTCACCTCTGACACGCGTGTCATAGGTTCGCCATCACTGACCTATAACCTGTGAATGGACCTTATTTGGCAAAGGGTCTTTGCAGATGTAATTAAGTTAATGACCTTGAGATGAGATCCCGACCCCTGATCCAGGTGGACCCTGAATCCAGTCCCAAGGGTCCTCCTAAGAGAAAGGCAGAGGGGATTGGAGACAGAGCCAGTGATGTGAGGACGGTCTGGGTGATGCGGCCACAAGCCAAGGGATGCCGGGAGTCACCAGAAGCTGGGAGATGGGAGGAGGCCCATAGGGCCTTCGGACGGGCTCTGGCCCTGCCAACTCCTGGGGTTGGGACTTCTGGCCTCCAGGACTGTGAGAGAATAAGTGTCTGTTATTTTAAGCGACACCGTTTGTGGTAATTTTTTTACAGCAGCCGACCCCAGGGGTGGGAGAAAATAAGAAAAACGTGGACTTTCTCAGAGGCAGAGACAATGAAGGAACCAGAGAGGAGAGGGAGAGACAGGTGAGCTGACAGTGCAGGAAAAACAGGGTCTGCCTACAATTCACTCCCCCTCCAGGCTCCCTCGCCCTCCAGTCTACCCTCCACAGACCCCAGAGTGCTCTTTTTGTTTTGTTTTTAATATACCTTTATTGATTTCAGAGAGGAAGGGAGAGAGAGAGAGAGAGAGAAACATCAATGATAAGAGAGAACCACCGATCGGCCGCCTGCCACAGGTACCTGCCCTTGACTGGAATCAAACCCAGAACCCTTCAGTCCGCAGGCTGACACTTTATCCACTGAGCCAAACCAGCCAGGGCCAGAGTGGTCTTTATACATCTAGGGTTGAGCCTGCCTCTAACTAGTCATAGCTACCCCATAGCTCCAAGGGTGCTGGACAAAGTTCCCACCCTAAGCCTTTCTAGGCAAGACCAAATCCTCCTCCTGCCCTTCAAGGCCTACCTCAGATGTCACCTGCTCTGCGGGGAGTTCCCTGACCTCCATGCTGGGTTCAAGGCCTTCTCTGGGCTCTTCAGTGAGCTGATCCACGTCAATGACTGTCCGTATCACTTTCTCACACAGCTGACTCTGCCCCTCCTCTGCTCAGAGACGCCCCCTGGCTCCCCAGTGCCCCTGAGGAAAAGCCCAGGCCCCCAGCCTGGGCCTAGAGGCCCCCCCTGATCTGGACACCTCCAATTCCCAGCCTCATCTCTCCCCTTTTGCCACCCCAGGCCCCTTGGCCTCGGAGCCTCTGCAGAAATGGTTGCCTCTAACTACTCTTCCCAGTTCTCTGCTGGGCACATGACTCCCAGACTTGGCTGCACCTGGGAGTCTGCTCTTGCAGGAAGCCACTGGCCATGCTGAGGTGGGCAGGGGCCTCCTCTGAGCTCAGGCTGCCACCTGTGCCACCTCCGTTACAGTGCACAGACAGGCTGGGCGCGGTGCCCGAGGGAATGGCCAGGCCGGAAGTGGGTCCCAGATGTGGATTTCACGCCTATTCGTCTCGGGTGCTGGGAACAAAGTTTGGGTCCCGAGGAACATATGGGGCTCTCCTGCTCCTCACTTTCATCTCCTACCTTCCCAGCCCCTGGGTGGGAGGCAGGAGGGCCAGGCTGTTCAGGCCGGGGTCGTTCCCACAGCCCCTCTTGGCCTCTTCCACCCTCTTTTCTTCTCCATCTATGTTCTAGCCTCCTGAGCTCTCTTCTTCTGGGAGAGATGTGGCCACCGTGTGTTTAAATAATAACAACAAACTCCAATGGCTCTTACTCTGTACCAGGCACTGCTCTGAGCCCATGACGTACACTATTAACTCATCTAACCCTCACAATACGCCCGTGGGTTGCTTCCTGTCATTATCACCATCATGGCCATTTTATAGATGAGAAAACTGAGGGGTGGGATTGGAACCCGGGCAGTCTGGCTCCAGGGTCTGTGATGTTCGTGAAAATGGCCTCCAGAGCAGGGCCACCCACAGGCCTTCGTGCGATGTTGGCAACGTCCTGCCTCGGCTCTGCCCAGCCCGCTAATCGCCAGCCACTTGGAATGTGGCGAATGCGGCCGAGGAACTAAATTTTAAATTTTATTTCATTTTAGTTAAGTTAAATTGAAACGGGGCTACTGTATTGGACAGCTCAGCTCTAGACAACTACGTTTGCGTGCCAGCTGCTTGCTGTGTGATGGTTGCTGACTCCTCACCTCTCTGAGCTAGTTGATTCATTGAAGAGGTGGTTATGAATTCTGGCCAGGGAGGTGGGGGGG